GGCCACACACACACACACACACACACACACACAAATAAATTTTTAAAAAATGAAAAAATAAAAAGTATTAACAAAATGTACTTTATTAAAAACTGTGTTTTGGAGCTGGGTATGGTAGCACACTCTTCTAATCCCAGCATCCTGGGAGGTTAAGGCAAGAGGATCAAGAGTTAGAGCTCAGCTTGGGCAATTTAGCAAGACCCTATCTAAAAACAAAGAAGGGCTGGGATGTAGTTCAGTGTTAAGGCCCTTGATTCAGTTCCCAGAACTGAAAAAGAAAAGAAAAGGATATTGGAAAAAAGTAAATGCCTGTTTGTATTTTATCCATATTACCTATTGAAAATGAGAAAGTGAGTATGGATTTGTATTTGTGGCAGCCCCATCCCCCAGGCTGTCAGTGTCCTGTGCTGGAACAAACCATGGCCCAGGACCATTACCTCTGCCCGTAGGCCATTGGCACTGAAGCAGGGCACGCAGTGGTGAAAAGAGAGAGAAAGAAAAAATGCTTTGTGAACAGGGATGATTGCCAATGTACTCAGGTACAGGGTATTGTAACTTATTTGCTGCTTTTTTTTCCAAAGGTTATATAATTTTTGTTTATGGGCAAATAATTTATGAAAAAATGTTGAACATCACTGGTCATTTGAAAGATGAAAATTAAAACAACATTGAGATTCCATCTCACCCCAGAAAGAATGGTTATCATCAAGAAATCAACCATTGACTAATGGTGGTGAGGCTGTGGGGAAAAAGGAACCCTTCTCCACTGTTGGTAGGGTGCAGACTGGTACAACCACTGTGGAAGTCAGTGTGGAGATGCCTCAGAAGAGTAAAACTACTATTTTCCGTCTTAGTATCTTCTCAAAAGAATTAAAAGCATCATACCACATCGATATTTGCATACCCATGTTTTACAGCACAGTTCATAGTAGCCAAATCTTTGAAACAGGCCAAAGGAAAAGAAGGAACAAGGGGGAAAAAAAAACAACAAGAAAAGAAGGAAAAAATGAAACAAAGCTTTTGTAAATAAGGAGAACAAGAGGGATTGAGGGGAGAAGAATGAGAATAAAAGAAGATGCATCAGGTGCAGATTCCCTATGATGAATGTGATCATTATATATATATATATATATATATATATATATATATAAAATGTATCAGTAAAATACAAACAAATTAAAATTTAAATGGAAAAATTTGGGGGTTTTTATGCACAGATATACCCAGGATTTAGTTCTAGGGAGAGTAACGGAAAAAGTAGGGGTTCAGGGATGGGGTGGAGGCTTGAAATGTACTTCATACCCACTTGATCTGTTTGACCTTTTATCTGTATAAAATCGATGATTTTTTTAAATAAAATCTTAAATTTTAAAATAATGTACTAGGACAAAGCTTAGGCAAGTGCAGGGACCAATGTTTGATCCCCAGCCAGTCCCACCCCTGGACACACCGGCACCAAGACTGGGCATGGTGGTGCACACCTGTAATCCCAGTGCTGGGGAGGCTGAAAACAGGAGGATCACTACAAGTCCGAGCTGCATAGTGAGGCCCTTTGCCGAATACATAAAAATAAATGCATAAATAAATAAAATAACATACTAGTAAATTTTATTCTTGGCACAAGCATAGCTTCCATTATTTCTTTTGTTTCACTAGTCAAGTCTCAGTAATTAACCTGTCATTTTGGTAGAAAGACAGTGTATATTTAGCTTTTTAAAAAAATATTGATTGATTGATTGCAGTACTGGGAATTGAATCCAGGTCCTTTACACTGAGCTACATCCCCCCTATTTTGAGACCTAGTCTTGCTGTTACCCAAGCCAAGCTCAAATTTGTGGTCTTCATGCCTCAGCCTCCCACAGTGTTGGTATTACAGGCACTGGAGAACTGATTGTTGTGTGTGTGTGTGTGTGTGTGTGTCTGTCTATACCCTTTATTCCACAGATACAGAGTGGGTATGATTTTAGCTAATTACATAATAAAATTTGTGCCAAAAGATGAGGCCAGATGATGCCTATTTTAAAATGTGACTGTATGCCAGTAATTCAGATAGAAGGCTTTTAAAAAAAAATTAAAGGCTATTTCTTTACCATGGTGTTCATTAGGTCTTAATTTTTTTTCAATAATTGCTTTTGTTTTAATTATAGGGCGTTTTTAATTTAGATTACTGTTTATCATAGCTTTTTTCCTGAAGGGAAATAAAGTTTTATGCCAAGAATGAAAGCACCTAGGCTTCATCTGATACTCAGATCTGTTTTATAAATCCAATAAAAATGTCACGAGGCACTGCACATGAGTGAACAGGAGCCTGGCCAGTCTGTGAGAGGAGCCACTGCTGAAGTCATCTTCCATTTACTGTGGAGCTGGAGGAGGAGTAGAAGGGTCTGGAGAACGCCAGCATGATCCTCAGGATAAAGATAAAATTGGAAGAGGGTGTATAGCAGTTCTGTGATGACCCGGCGCTTGATTCAGCCAGCAGTAGTGTTTTGATCTTATAAGAGAGCAGCAGCTCAGTGTGAGTTCTCCAAGCAGGACTTCATGGACGGCATGACAGAATTAGGATATAGCAGTGGCCATTGCCTACTGGGACTTCGTGCTTATGGAAGATTTAAATTCTTAGACTAATGAAATAAATTTTTGTTGCAACATCATAAATACCCAATACTAAAAATAGTTGGGATCTTCTTTTAGACTTAGTACAATGATTGCAGATGACGTGTCTATGACTAAGAAGGACCATGGCCTGTTCTCATTGATGACTTTGTGGAATTTTCATGCCTTCAAATTGCTAGGCAAAAAGTGTAACAACAGTGTGACACAAAAGGAACATTTTAAAATGTACAAAAAATGTACATAGTTTGTACAATAAATGCAACAGAAAATTCCACAATTTCTGCTAGGTGAACTGAACTGAAGATTGACCCTTACTATTCAAGCTGAGGGTGGAGAAAACACTTTAAGGCTACGTCTTGGACTGTATTATATTTCATTCTTCTTTTGGTGATTTGGGCTTGTTGTTTGGTCTGGTCTGCTCCAAACATTTATAATTCTAAAAATTATAGATTTGATCTTAATATCTGTGGACCATCCTGGTTTATTCTCCTGAAGCTTTGTGGTGATCATTCTGAGGTTTACATTCTTGCACAAAGCCATAATGCTGTTTTTGTCAGAAAACAGTTGGACACAAAAATTAAAACATAACAAACATTGCAAACAATTAGTAAAAACTTAAATACATGCTTTGGGCTAGTTGCAAAGGCTATACAACTGATAACCACTTCCAGTGAGAGTGATCTGTTTAAGTGTAGCAAATCTGGAATTGTTTGATTGATTGATTGATTGATTGATTGATTGATTTGGCACAGGGCCTCACTATACAGCTCAGACTCAGTGATCCTCCTGTCTCAGTCTCCCCAGTGCTGGGATTATAGGTGTGTGCCACCATGCCTGGTTTTGGTAGCTGCCAGGGTGCCTCTAGGGTTCTGGGGCTGGCACAGCATGCAGTATTGGGGATCAAATCCAGGTCCTTGCATTTGCCTGGCAGGCATTTAGACCACTGAGCTATTTCCCCAGCCTGCAAATCCAGACTTGTGTTCTGGTTTGAGAGAATTTCTTTTCCTGGAACATGACATGTATTGTTGGTGCAAGTAGAGTATCTGATGAAAGAAATGTCAAAACAACCATTGTGAAAACTTTCTAGGATAACTTGGTGCCTACTTGAAAAATATATTGTTTTAGACTCTCAGTTCCAAAAAGATTTCACAGAATTAGTCTGTACTTCCTTTACCCAGTGGTCCTACAGGGAGTTTTTATTTAACAAGTGACCATGCTACATTAGATTCTACTCTTGACTACATTATGCACCACCACATAATTGGATTTCATTATGCTTTTGAAATTCTTATATGCCACCAGGTATGGTGATGCATGCTCATAATCCTAGCACTCACGAGACTAAAGCAGGAAGACTCCTGAGTTTGAGGCCAGCCTAGGCTACAAAGTGAGTTCAAGGCAGCCTAATCTTCATAGTGAGACCATGTTCCAAAAAGAAAAAAAAAAAAAAATGCTTATATGGCCATCCCATAAGTTTAAGTATTTAATTTGCTTTAATGCTTTGTGTTACCATCTTCAAGTGACCTCACCATCAGAATTGTTCATTTCCAGGCTAGTATAGCTCAGTGGTAGAGTATGTATGTAGGCGCTAGACTTAGTCTCCAGAACCAGAATAACAAATTTCACTTCCCCAGAGTGAGGACCATGGGACAAGAGCTTGAGTCATGCAGACTTAGATTATATTTTAGAAAGTACCTATTAAGCTCTCTGGGCTTCATTTCCTCTTATGTGGGTGTATGTACGCATAGTACTTAGGTCTAAGCCCAGGGCCTTCACACTGAGCTACATCCCCAACCTTTTTTTCATTTTTGAGACAGCGTCTGGCAGAGTTACTAGTTGCCCAGGCTGAGCTTGAGCTTGTGTGATTGTCCTGCGTCAGCCTTCCAGAGTGTTGGCATTATAGGCATTGTCTCTGCTACCCTCCAGCTTCAGTTCCTCATTTATAAAATGGGGTGGTGACTAACCCAGCATTCAGTACGTAGGTACTTACTTGGTCTCAGGAGTGATCCAGCCTGGACAGTGGTCATCTAGCCGGAAGCCAGGAGTGGTTTTTATCCTTAGTGAGTCTCAGCAGCTTCTGAGAGTCTGAGGCCTCTGTTATGTTTCCTGTCCTTCACTTTGTCACTGGCTCTCACGCTTGAGTACTGGCCACCAAGTGCAAGCAGGCAGAGTCAGAGGGAGGTGGGTACCACACAGAGCTTGTACTAGCAACTTGTTTTGTGGAAAGGGGGCCACTTCATGTCCCAACGAGGGGAGTAAGCCATTGATTATTTTCTGTTTCAGGAACTATTTGTAACCCTGGACCACGGAAGTCTATGTCTAAGCTTCTTTACTTCCGCCTTGCACTTTTTCTGCCAGAGATGGTCTGGGCATCACTGGGAGCCGCCTGGGTAGCAGATGGTGTCCAGTGTGACAGGACAGTTGTGAATGGCATCATTGCAACCGTCATTGTCAGGTGAGGTCTTCTAGTGTCTTCTCATCACAAATGCATTGCAGTGTAGGTGGACTCACATCTCTGAGGAATGCAACAGAGAGGCTCCTCACATAGGTAGAATTGGACCTTACTGACTCACTTGTGACAATTTAGACACATTTGTTTAGGTATGGTAAATAATTCATCTTCCATTTTCCATTTGTTGATGTTTTTTCTTTCTTCCTGGGTTCTTAATTTCTTGCATTTTTTTTTTTTTTTTTTTTTCTCCAAAGAAGGAAGAAAACCAAAGATTGAAGCAAGGGCAGAAAGAAGCTAAAGATAAGATGAGAAGAAATGGGGTATTGTGTATCATGGCAGGCATTAGTTCTCTAATAAGGCTTTTTATCATGAGGATTTTACATTTTCTGGGATAAAAATCATAGCAATGATCTAATTCCATCCCTTAGAGTTATGAATAAGGAGACTGAAGCCCATGCTGTTGCCAGCTTTCCTGAGCTACTCGGTGAGAGCACAGAATTGCCTCGTGGAGGTGTCTTCCTCGCAGCATAGCATCCAGGCGCTCATAGGCCTTATGCATGTGGGCAAATCTAGAAATACTTAGAGATACAGACAAAAGAATGTCCTATCAGAATGTCCCCTAATCTGGGCATTCTTTTAACTTTAACAGAATAATCCTGTGGCACTGAGGAGGAAGGGCCTGGGTGTCAGGGTTAGGGTTTCCCATGCTGTTTCATGTTTCTTTTGTGTCCCTCATTTTTTGTAGGGCATGGGTTGACTATGAAGAAGTTTCTAAAAGAAATAGTCTGCTCATTTCAGTCAGATTCTGGGAGATCTGTCTTCCTGGGTCCTCAGTAGAGACACAGAACTGAATATGAAGGAGGCACCTCAGGCTCTGCATGGGGTGGTAGAGCCCCCAGTCACAAGCCCTTTCCCCTCTCTCTTGCAGTTGGATCATCATCGCTGCCACTGTTTTCACCATTATCATTGTCTTTGACCCACTGGGGGGGAAAACGGTTCCCTATACTTCTGCTGGTCCTGGTCACCTGGATAGTCATGAATCGAGCCAGTTACTTGATGGCCTCAAGACAGCGGCTATAAGCGTGTGGGAAACGAGAATGAAGTTGTTGTGCTGTTGCGTGGGGAAAGACGATCACACTCGAATTGCTTTTTCGAGTACGGCAGAGCTTTTCTCAACCTACTTTTCAGTAAGCTGAAGGGATCTGATTTGGTCTCTTTCTGTTTCCGTGAATGCCTCTTATGTGAAAATAAGCACTTTGACTGCATTTGGAGCCAGTCCCCCTCACCATATAAGTGGCTTTTGAGAATCCAGAACCCCTGGGTGTGAGGTTGAGGACCAATACTGTCAGGGATGAGCACCTTGGGGGCAGTTAACATCAAGGGCTATACTTTTCCAGAGCCCATCTTGACACTTAGGTATACCTTTTCATTGACACTTGTTCATTACACTCCCTTTTTAAAGAAATTGAATAGTCTAACCTATACATTTGGGGACTAGCATGTGTTCACACACATATACTATACCTCTTCTGTTGATGCAGCAGATGCGGTGTATAGGCAGTGTCATGCTACACGATAGAAATGGTAGCCTTTTCAGCCAGGAATGGTGATGCATTGTTGTAATCCCAGCAACTCTGGGAGACTGTGGCACGAGGAATGACAGTTTGAGCCCAGTTTGGGTGACTCAGTGAGACCTTGTCTCAAAATTTAAAAATTTTAAAAAGAGCCAGGGATATAGCTCAGTAGAAATCCTGACACAGTGCTGGCCCTCCTCCCAGGTGCCAGCCCCACCCCCAGGATACGCTGAGAGGGTACCTGAGACTGGGCATGGTGGTATGCGCCTGTAATCCCAGTGCTTGGGAGGCTGAAAGCAGGAGGATCACTATGAGTCTGATCTGTGTAGTAATACCTTGTGGACCCTGTTCTTAATACATAAAAAAAAAAAAGAAAGAAAGAAATCCTGACTTACTATAATGTAAAAGTATATTGTCATTCTAGAACAATTTCTTTCTTTTCCTTTTTTTTTTTTTTTTTTTTTTTTTTTTTTTTTTTTTTGTTTTGCGGAACCGGGGATTGAACTCAGGCCCTCTCCCTTGCCAGGGAAGTGCTTATTCCACTGAGCCATCTCCCCAGCCCTAGAGCATTTTCTTGAGCAATTTGAGAATACTTGTTTTCATTCAAATCAACTATTATTTTTTTGCTTTTCGTGTGATGATCTCTGATAAACCACTGTTATTTTCCACATTAATACCGGGGAAGGGGAAATGGTTCTGATAGTCTGCACCCCTTCCTGTCAATTTCTTGGTTCCCTGTAGTGTCTGACTCTGGAATGTTCTGGGCCAGCCCCACTGCTTGACTCCACAGAAGCAGCCTCCACATCGGGATAAGAGAAGTGTGTCCCCTAAATCTGAAAGGTCTAATTTAGCCTGGTGTGAGGAAAAAGAAAAGCTGGCTATTCTCAGATTATTTTATTTATTTATTTATTTATTTATTTATTATTTATTTATTTAGAGACAGGGTCTTGTTACGTAGTTTAGGCTGGCCTTGAACTCATATGTAGCCCAGGCTGCCCTCAGACTTGTATTGATCCTCCCACCTCAGCCTCCTAAACGGTGGGATTATAGGTATATACTATCACACCCAGCTCAGAGATGTCTTAATCTAGATCATAGGCCCAATGGTCGGTACTTGGACCTTTCTTGTGAGCTAGAAGTACCTTTTGTAATAGAGGATTTCTGACTAGTCCCCGTGTATCCTGAAGGAAAAGGTAAGGTCAGGCCCCAGAACACTGAATGTTGCTTTATATCTTCAGGTTTGAAGCATTTGCTATACCCAGGGACATGTTCAATCTCATAAATCACTGTTGTAGACTGTTTCAATAAATCATTAGAGCACCTTGAGATCAGAGTATGAACTTGAGCTGAAATTGTACATTACTAAAAATATGGATGATTTACTCATTTATTTTCCACTTTTCCAAAAGATTTGGAGTATATTAGAAATAGTTAATTTACTTGAAGTGGAATTTTGAAATAGGGACCCACCTAGTAGATTTGTATGAAGGTAAGATATAAGAAAATACTGAGCTGAAGGAGAAGGAGACTTGTGAGGACAATGCTTTTACAGCTGCCTTTATACACATAAATGCTCTTGGTGTATCTGGACATGCACCTAGGAACTGTTACGCTGAATCTTAAAGCATTCCTGGGCCTGTTTCATGCCAAGCCATTGCACTTTTCCATGCAGGACACAGATCTGGTGCCCAGTGACATTGCAGCAGGCCTGGCCCTTCTCCATCAGCAGCAGGACAATATCAGCAGCAGGCAGGAACCAGAGGAGGTGATCAGCCACTCCCCAGGGAACCCCCAGGTAATCCCAGATTTCTCTTGGATTGTATGGTTTTGATGCTTACACCTGTGTTGATCTTTAAAAATAGACAACTTACCACAAGCGATTTGAGTAGCAGTTGGGCCACGATCTGTTTGTGGTCTCTGGCACACCTGTCAGATGAGGTAGGTCCTCAGAGCCTGGAGTGCAGGTAGATAGAACCTATTCCTGGCCAGATCACCGTGCATCATATTTCAAACCCTTCTGCTTTAGGAAATTCACTGCTGGGTTCTACATACCAGGGAAATTCCTTGTAAGATGGAACCTCAGGCACCCTGTGTGTTTCCTTTTCTTCTCTGAGTCTGGGGAGCTTCACAGGATGCTAAATTTCCTCCTATAGATTTTTATGTTTTCAAAAGAAAATTGCACACAGGATCCATTTATTTCTTTGTTTGCTAAAGCAGCAAATTCTTGCCACATGCCTGTGTTGCAATGTGGAAATGTGCTAATGCTTGTGGTCGGAAGCATCTCCTCAGCAGGAGTCAGCAAAGCTGCAGAAGACCAGGGTGGTGGCACATAACCTCTGATCCCAGCACGCTGGGAGGCTGAGGCAGGAAGATCATAAGTTGGATCCAGCTTGGGCAACTTAGTGAGATCATGTCTCAAAATGAAGACTACAGGAGAGCGAGGGATGTACCTCAGTGGAAAAGCCCTGGGTTTAGTCCTCAGTGCAAAAAAAAAAAAAAGAATCACTGGAGTCTTGTTGCTGCTGGCATCTTGTCCCTGCATTCCTGGAGGAATCCTCTCAAGTCTGTGTTGAAGGAACCTGTTTTCCTAGCAGAAATCCTGTGAGAACTCCAGTCAACAAGAAAAGCAAAAGAATCAGGAATTGGAGGTCAGGCTTAAGATCTTAGCGTGTTCATCTTCCCCATAACGAGTTCCCTTAAATAAAAAGCTATTTTTTTTTCTTCTTTCAGGAAGCTGAACTGGATGCAGAATTAGAAAATTGCCATCATTATATGCAGTTTGCAGCAGCTGCTTATGGGTGGCCTCTCTACATTTATAGAAACCCCTTTACTGGGCTGTGCAAGATTGGTGGTGATTGGTAGGTTGGCACTGGGTGAGGCCTCCATGTCCACATTGCTCTTTTTAAATAATTCTATTTAAAAAATATTTCAAAAGCTTGCAAGAACAGAACAGAGATGTCCAACCTAAGTCCTTTATCTGAGTCCCCAGTTCTGACTCATTTTGTCACATGTGCTGCATCACACACTCTGTAGACACATTTTCCCCCAAAGGATTTAAGATTGACTCCTTGCTTCTTTATTTCTAATTACTTCAGTCTAGATTTTTAAAGAATGACATTCTTTAATGTAACTCCAGTAAAATTGTCAAACACAAGAATTTTTCCATTAATCTTTAATTTGTTTCTATTTTTGGCAACACTAGAGCCCAAACCCAGGGGTACCCCTACCACTGAACTACATCCCCAGCCCCTTTCATTTTTTTATTTTGAGACAGGTCTCACTAAATTACCTAGGCAGGACTTGAATATGTGATCCTCCTTCCTCAGCTTCCCAAACTTCTGAGGTTATAGGTGTGGACCACTGGGCCTGGCACCTTCAACTAATTTGTAATTTATGTTCAGATTCTTCAGTAATGTCCTTTTTAGCAAGTTTTCCTTGTTTCCTTGACCCAGGATTATGCTTTCCATTTAGTTGTCCCATCTCCTTAATCTCCTTTGATTTAGAGTTCTTCAGTATTAACATTCTGAAGGAGTCAGTTCAGGCATTTTGTAGATGAGTCTTCCCTCTGCTCTCTCTGAAGATTTCCTAGGGGTTGGATCCAGGTGTTGAGCTTGTGGTAGGAGCTGCTTGGAGGAGCTGTGTCCTTCCTAGTACATCCCATCAGGAGCATGATGCTAAGTTGTCCTACTCCTGGCACTGTTAACGTGTCACTTGGCTGAGGTGGCAACAGCAGGTTCTTTCACAGAGCCAAGTCCTTCCTTCCCCTTATAATAAAAGATTCTCTTGGGAGAAGTCCTCCATGACCACTTACATATATGGTCCTCTCCACTGTCACCCAGTCCTGTGTCATGTGAATCCATTATTATTAGATTAGTTACAAAAAAATTTTTTTTTCAAATTCACTGTATCTTCTGCATTAGTTATCATTCTGCTTTAAAGCAGAGTTTTCCCTTCCCTACTACCTTTTTTACCAATATGGCTAGATAGGTTCTGACCTTATTTAATATTTATATTACTGTTCTTTTGTTGTTGTTTTGTTTTTTTTTGAGACAGGATCTCATTATGTAGTCCAGGCTTGCCTCGAACTCATGCTCATCCTCCTGCCTCAGCCTGCTGGGATTACGTTATTGTTCATTTTATAATGAATATAGTATTTGGTGCTCAGAGTGCCCCAGAGTTGGCCTCGCACCTAGCACTAGGGGCCTTTTTCTGTGTACCTATTACTTTCTGAGCACTTCCTGGGTTTTATTCCCCCTTTGTTTTTGGAGACAGTGTCTCACTATGTAGCCCAGGCTGGCCTTGAACTCACTGCAATCCTCCTATCTCAGCTTCCTGAGTACTGGGATTACAGGGGTGCATCGCCACTCCCAGCCCACTTTCTGAGTTAAAATTCTTTTTCGTGGGGGATGGGGGGATTAAAACACTTTCACTATGTGGTTCAGGTTGGCCTTGAACTCACTATGTAGCCTAGGCCAGCCTTAAATTCATAGCGATTCTTCTTCCTTATGCTTCCAAGTGCTGGAATTACTACAGGCATGGGCTACCACACCTAGCCTGCCCTGAGATTCTGCAGCCTCATCTCATGATTTCCCTAGACACAATTTGTAGGGCTCCTTTTCCTCTTGTTTGAACTGCGCTAATTAGAAACCAAGAACTATGAGCCAGGTATGGGTATTATTCCTGGAGTGTTACTGCTTCTTAGCCTTTTCAGTGAACAGAGTTGGGTTGGGTAAGAGCAATTCATGCGATTCAGTCCAAAATATATTTATTCAAAAAATCACTAGGTTGCTTGGGGACAGTGCTGTACACCTGTGATCTAAGCTCCTTGGAAAGTCAAGTTTGGTGGAGAGTGAGCTTGAGCTCAACCTATGCGATGAGACCTCATCTCAAAAAAAAAAAGGGGGGGCTGGTGAGATGGCTCAGTGGTATAAAGCACCTACTTAGAACAAGCTTAGCAAAGCACAGGGATCGCGGTTCAATCCCCCAGCACCACATGCCAGCCAGCCCTGCTCCCTGGTGGGCTG